ACATCACAAAGTGCATTTTGCATGATATGTCCCCTTTAAAGTGCCAGTTGGAGGAGAGTATGAGTCTCAACACCAGATGAAAGGCTCTGGGAAGCTCGCCAGGTGTCCGCTGCTTCTCTTCAGGAAGCTTTATGGCTGCCAGCCCCCCCTCTGTTTAAACATCCACCACTATTCCGTCAGCTCTCATTTACTTTGTACATACTATAATGAAAGAGCCGGTGACCTGCTGTTCAGAATAGAGAGGAGAGGAAGACACATAGACGGCTTATGTGTATTTTCACAATTGATTGAGGTAACTTAGGAAAAGAGAACAGGATGTGTGACTAGGTCGGACATGGCTGGGAATGATGATGAGGAAGAGCGAGATATACATCCTTTGATAAATCAGAATCTAGTCAAATTGATCATATTGCACTCTGTTTTGATGATTGATGATCAAAATAATCGTTGGTTCGCAGCCCGTGCTATAAACTGGTACTTTTGCACATTAAAGGAGTAAGTGGAATCAACAGGTTTCACATTTTTCTGACACTTTATCCACCAAACTATTCATCTTAGAAAAATCATTTGCAGATGGATTCATAAGGAAAATAAACCCTTGTTGCATTCACGTGCAATAAGTTGGTACTTTTGTTTAAAGCCTTGGAGAAACTGGAATGTCCACTCATCAATTATTTTGTATGTCAGAATTGGATTCCTTGTTGTCGACTCGCAAAGAAAAAGTTTAAGGAGACGTGTTTCTACAAGATCGGAAGAGCTGCCATTTTAGATTTGGGCATCTGTCAAAAAAATACAAAGGATTGTTTGTGTATCAGTATGGGAATAGACTCTATGAAGTTATGGTTATTCTGATCAAAATACTTGTTATTAAGGTAGTTTATCATTTGTAAGATCTTTCTTCAAGGTCTTTCTTGTGGGTTTGTTCCATAGGCACATTGCAGTTGAGTATGAGTAGAAGTATATAGTGGCAGCAACAAGAAAATACTTAATTGAAGTACCTTGATTATGCAGTTAAGCCCAATACTTGAGTAAAAATACTTAGTTTGGCAGTTTGAGAGTGAGATGTTTCATCCGCTTCTGCATAAAGAGGTCGGCCTGAGAGAACCAAGCTAACACATTCTCACCGCTAATGCAAATCACTTGGAGTAAACAGGAAATGCAGTCTAATTCTCTGTGGCTTAGCAGGACTCAGATGAGTAAAATATGCAAATGTAAGTCTGAAAAATGTAACTTTAGATAATGTAGGTGCAGTTGCAGATTCTCAGGATTTGGAGAGACTTGATTTAGCCCCTCCCTGACAGAAAACATGATCTTAGTGAAGATGTGGGGGGGTAGGCGTATTGATTTGAGGGCAGTAATCAAGACGGTAAAGATGCATTAACATAAGGAGTGAAAACGGCAGCATCACATACTGTATATTGGATTGGTTGCTCAAACATGGTGTGTGTGTTCCAGTAGTGTCTTTTACCCCCTGGAGGGATTGTTTAAAACACATTAAGCTCTTTGTTCTCCACACACGCACGCACGCACGCACGCACGCACGCACGCACGCACGCACGCACACACACACACACACACACACACACACACACAGAGATCCCTCTTGGAGTATCCACTTCCTCTGGCTCCAGGAGGGTGATGTATTGAGTGTCGCTCACAGGCTGCTGCACTTCTGATAAAGTATGTTTACCTCTGACTCATGCATGGATGCTCTATATACAGCCCTACATTATATAAAAGAGCGGTCGATTGCTGAGGCCGTTCAAGCATTCATAAATGTATAGAAGCTGTTGAATTATATATTTCTTGTAATGTGTTAAGATACCTTGCAAATCCCCCGTTCTTTAAAAGCAGGTTTATCGCCTAGTTGAAAGTATTTGAGTGAATTGCAGCATCTTTTAAGAACAAAAATACCAAATGACTGTTAGGGCTTTTTATCTGCTGCCACAGTCACTACCATAAATGCATGCTTTATGACTTCTTCTATGAGAAACATTGTCAAAGTAACAGTGTAAATCACACTCTGCAGCAGCTGAGCTCTTTAGTCTAATTGAAAAGGCCGAGAAAATAAGACGAGTGATGGATGCAGTTTTTCTGTTTGTTTGATTCTACAATTTTTAATCTCTTTGAAGAACGTGTGGGTTACTTCCTTCCTTCCTTGGTCAGGAACATGCCTTTTTTGCCCAGACGCCCAAATAATGTCGCTTGTCTTACCCATGAAGTGAATCATAGTCACATCTCTCAGCAGACTAGGCTACTCCGTTATAACTGGTCCTGTGTTGGAGTGCTAAGAAACAATTAGATAACTTCCACTGTCAGAATATATTTTTTTCATGTGTACCACTACACATTGTGTTTTTATGAGGAATTGTGAGCCTGACAATTTCTTGGCCGGGCCTAGCCACTTCCTGGACTGATATGTATAAACCAGCACATCCTAAAAAGTATTTACATGACAAAAGACACACTGACATCTCTACAAGCAAAGAAAAGTTGTACCAAAGCAAACAGTGGCTTTAAAATGACTTGAAGGAGGATTAGGATTAATTAAAAAGACTAAATGTGTTTGTTTAGACATGGAAGAAACATCGAATGAATCTTTTTTTGCATATTATTTACTCATTACATTGCATTACATGTTACTTGGTAGACGCTTTTATCCAAAGCGACTTACATACTCAATACTGTGGGCAATCCCCACAGGAGCAATTTGGGGTGAAGTGTCTTGCCCAGGGACACAACGACATGCTGACTGCAGTGGGGTTTGAACCTGTGCTCCCCTGATCCGAACACCAACGCACTAATCCACTGCGCCACACGCCTCCCACTCTTAAGGAAGAATACATTTAAAGCCAATTGAATCCAGTGTTTTCATGCATTCATAAACCACCAACAACCTCTGGATAATACATCTACAGTACTGACAAACTCTTCGACATACAGTATGTTCAGTCTGTTGTTTTTCCAGGAGTGTTTTAAGAGCCTACCATAAGAGCTAGAAACAATACTAAGGAGCAGATAATACAGCAATTCAGAGAAGAAAGGAAAACTTCATGTGGCAAACATCTCTGCAGGTTAACGGTAGAGTAGCCCAGCAGAGTGCACTTAAAGTGGACCTATCATGCTATATTTGAAATATATATTGTAGGGCCATACCTATACAAAACATGTCTGTGAAGTTTTTTTTTCAAAATACCAAACAGATCACCCATTGTAGCCATGCCTCATACTGCTCAAACCCCTCATTTGCAGCCCTGTTAGAGAAACGCGGATCTTGGGTCCTTAGCTTGAAAAAAGAAAGAAGAGGAGGCGGAGCTAATGCCTGATCAGAATTCTACCGGAGATGAAGTTAAATTCTGCTGTGATAAAACGCCATCCTGTTTAAACCACGTCAAGGATTATTTCTTTTTTTATTTCCTGCTTTTTAACCTGTTTCACGCCTTCCCCCCGGTACCGGGCGGATAAACGCGTCATTTGCAGGAAACAACGTCTAAGGAATCTTAATATTGAATAAAACTATGAATGTGTTATATCCATGTAACGGGAAGAAACTCAGCTAACTGATCTTTTTAATTTTTTTTTTTCAAAAAAAACCCACAATGCTAGCACTCAGCCTCTGAATTAGCCTCGATCGAAAAAACGGGACCGACAAAGGCACATAAACTCACTCAGAACTCCCTTATTACTTATCCTAGATGCACAACCAAACACTATTTTTTGGTGTCCTGGAGACACTGAATCTAACGGTGCCCACCTCAACACTCAGTGATAAACATTCGCGACGCTATCAACGAAAGCGTACATCATCACATGTGGAGCCAAGAAGCTAAACATGTAAATATGGCTCACCTTGGTCAAAAGTGGTCTTCAATGGCATTAAAACGATAAAAAAACGATGCTGCAGTTAATCCATAGGTTCATCCTATGTGTCTGTGCCTTCTTTGAAATTATTTCTGATAATCCATAAGCAATACAACTGCGTTTTAGTTTCCAAACTCCAGAAGGAGACATTCCTCCAGTTTAGTTTCGCTTTCCACACGCGAAGCGGCAACATTTTTTCTTTACAATGTGTGTCTATGTGAGTATCCTCCTTCGATTCTATTGGCTCTAACGGTCACAAGGGTATGTCAACCAACCAGATCGAGCAAGGGGGGCCAGAGATAGGTCAAATCCACCCAAATGACCCCAGATGGCCCAGTTTTTGGCTAAATCTCTCTAAAAAGGTCAAATTTCACTTGTTTTGCATCAATCTTGATACAGGGTACTTATTATATGTTGTACTTTGGATTCCTAAAGCTTTTAGTCTACTAACCCATCATCCAAGGGTAGTTTTCACTATCTGTAAAAAATAATTTTTGGACGGACACTATAATTTACAGTTTTTTACTATGTAAAATCTGAATTTTCTTTAAAATAAAAAACATTTATATTGATTCTGACACTTCTACATCCAACTCACAGGTTTATCATTACTTTGAGAAAAGATTATTAATTTAACCCTTTTAGAAGGGAAGATATGGTCATTTGTTCTGGGAATGTCATTTTCGAGCCTGAGACCTGAAAAACAGGCTCAGAGTGGAACAGGTTAAACACATGTGCTCTCCAGTACAGGTTAGCTCTGAGTGTTAGCGAGGCTTGCTAATGTAAACAAAGACGAGATTACGTCCAAAACACGTCAGGCATTGTTTCTGATAGCAACTTTCTGTGGGTCCGCTGCCAATTTGGCGTCAGTTCGGATGGAATCTGTATCCGCTCGTTGTACACCAGTTTTTAAAAGATTTGGGTACGGAGGAAAAGAGAGAGGGTTTTATTTTCTGACGCTGCGTGAGTTCCCCGACGCACCGGGGACACATGATGTATAAAAGACATCACAAAGTGCATTTTGCATGATAGGCCCCCTTTAAGTTTGCATTAAAGGTCACATGGCGGTTGAGTCAATGCATGCGTCGCCCTCGGGGGTGATTTTCCATTATGGCCATGGGAGATTGGATCAGTTGCCTTGGTTTATTGGTGCAGAAGGTCTTCAGTCAACAAGAGCATGAGGAGGAGCCTTTTACGTTACAGTATCTTTGCTAAAGTGACACGCAGAGCTATTAGCGGCATCTAAACACTCGGTCTATAAACAGTGGTTGCCAACTTCCTTGTTTTGTGGTTGTGTGGTTTCTGCTGTTTTGTGTGTGAGATGATGTTGGTCTGAAAAACATGTTGAGAAGAGTTGCACTGATAGGTTGTTTATAGAGAGATGGATGGGGAGATCAGGAGAGGGAACAGGATGAGTGCCTTTGAGGCCAGATAAAAGCTGAGGAAGACATGCCAGTGATGTAACACATTTACAGGACAATTACCAGTAGGACGACAAGAAAAAGAGGAAAGAGCGCTCATCATCAAAGAGAGAGAGAGAGAGAGAGAGGCTTGAATTCTCTTGCATGCTTGTTCCCTCTGCCTTGTCTCCTCCCTTCAGTGTTTTTGTGTGTGTGTGAGTGTGTGTGTGGAGAGACGGGGCTGAGCTCAGTGGCATGTCGTACCAGGTTTAGTTTCTCCAAGAAGCAGTGACAAGCGCACCTCCCTCGGCTGACTGACATACGGTACGCATTTCCTCCTTTCTTTATAAGTGAACTTTGACACTGTTTACTGTCATAACAGGACACATGAGTGTGCAAATGTGTGACTGTATGTCAGTTGAAGATAATCATACTGTGTTGTTCTGGGGGAAGATGTTAAAAAAAACTGGTAATTAGCCTTAAAAAATGTTTCTTTCTCTGGTTTTTGTCATAAGATGTCATTCTTGGACACAGAGTCTACTGTGTATTCGAGCTTGTTGTTGTCTCGTCGGTGAATAAAAGCCATCATTCAGTACCACTCTTTGCTCTGGGGCTTCATGTATACCTAACACAGATCATGCTGCTTCCATTAGCGTAGTGGAGAGAGTTGCTTGGCACAGTTTTTCCCTGTTTGTAAGAGAGATCCTTGAATGTGTCTGAACTGGAGGACGGCGAAAGGCTGAAAGCCAAAGCCATGGCTCTAATCAAGGCTAATGACCGAGAGGGGAGGTCGCTCTCTGGTTCCCTGCAACACAAGAAGTCACAACATTGAGTACATAATAGAAACACAATAGCTACTTAATGCAAGTCCAATTTAAAAACCTGCTGCAGTTAAAAACAGCAACATGTCCTCAAGATTCTTAATTGCTGCCTAGGTTGTTAGAAAAATCTCACTGGTCACCGGCTTGAGCTTCAATCTCAGGATCCATGTATCTCTGATCCTCTCCAGAATGGAAGTAGTCATCACACACAGAGCATCAACTAGTTCCTGAACAGTGTCCTTCACATGCTGATATACAAGAGAGGGAGTTACACAGTCACAAGATGGAGGAATAGAAAGCAGTATTCAATGTTTACTTCAGATTAGCTCCACGTCAGAAATGATCATGCTTGTCATATGTTTATCTCCATAGAGGCTGAATCATCTAGTGGACTAAACGGCAGATAAACTGTGGCGCGCTTACACCAATTGCGCCGCATAAGCGCATAATAGTGCGCCGCATTTGCACTTCAGATGAGGAGGTGAGGCCCCCTCATAACTGCATGAACCCGTATGGCACAATACAACTCAGACTGGCTTACCTGTACGTCAATCAAGTGGCAAATGCCATAGTAAGGATGGATGATAGGCTAACTTTAAAAAAATATATATATATATATTTTTTTTTTCTTTTTTTTTTGCAATGCCATGCGATCTACCCACACTACCTTTGCGATCGACCGGTCGATCACGATCAACGTATTGGGCACCCCTGGTCTACATGATACAGAACTGTAGCGGATACGACCCGTTTCGTCTCCGTGTGGCTGCAGCCTGAGTATTTTCCCAACAGCTACCTAGGTTTTTGACTATCTGTGTTGCTAATTAGAGTGAGGGCACTTGTGTATTGCTAGGATGCAGTTGCTTGACAACAGTTTTCCAGAAATGGTTATGTTTTTGTTTGATATCCTACAAAAGAGACTCACAGGGAGCCCGAGTGAGAGTAATCAGATATTAGTCTGAGTGCAGGCCTGAGTTCATTCAGTCTGAACAGCTGCTGGACTTAAGCTGGATAATGCTCGCTACAACAGGATAGGAAATAGTTTTGAACAAGCAATAAAATAATCAATTTCAGTCTTGGAACAATGGTACAAATCCTTTTAATATAGTAAAAGTAGCGAAACAATAATGTAAAAAATACTTAATCAGAAGTAAATCATGTATTCTGGAACAAGACTTTACATTCTGTATTTTAAAGACTTAGCAGACTGGCACTATGTCACAGAAATAAACACTAAAGGGAACAGCAGAAGAAGAAAGACTGGGAGTAAACACTAAAGGGAACAGCAGAAGAAGAAAGACTGGGAGTAAACACTAAAGGGAACAGCAGAAGAAGACGGACAGGAAGTAAACACTAAAGGGAACAGCAGAAGAAGACATACAGGAAGTAAACACTAAAGGGAACAGCAGAAGAAGACAGACAGGAAGTAAACACTATAGGGAACAGCAGAAGAAGACAGACAGGAAGTAAACACTAAAGAGAACAGCAGAAGAAGACAGACAGGAAGTAAACACTAAATGGAACAGCAGAAGAAGACAGACAGGAAGTAAACACTATAGGGAACAGCAGAAGAAGACAGACAGGAAGTAAACACTAAAGAGAACAGCAGAAGAAGACAGACAGGAAGTAAACACTAAAGGGAACAGCAGAAGAAGACAGACAGGACGTAAACACTAAAGGGAACAGCAGAAGAAGACAGACAGGAAGTAAACACTAAAGGGAACTGCAGAAGAAGACAGACAGAAAGTGAGGCAAACATTATCCATTACTTATTAACCTCAGATGCTTTGTATGTAAGTAATAACAAAAAAAAATGCATTTGCAGTTCAAGTTAAGAATGTAACCTTCTCCCATCACAACTGTTGTTGTTCTATATTGATACCTCTTAAGAACATGTCGCCTCCTGTCAGCCCCCTGCTGTGATGAACCTGAAACTCCACTCTATGTGGGGCCCATGAAACCAACCTGTACCCACGTCACCTGTTTTAAAGTGCTGAAATGCTGCCGTCTAGTGATATGCTGTCTGCAGCCCGTGAGGTCGACTGTTGAGCTGATATCCCCCTCCTCACCCCCCTGCTACTTCCTGATGAAAGGTTAAACACAAGATAAAAATGTCCCATCTTACAAACAACAGGCATCTTTTCATCCGTCTACTTGCTTAGCAGTCACATGGGAGGTGACATCATTAGGTTTTATTTTTAGAGATACAGAGAAGGGATGAAAACCAGAAATCCAGGGGGATTGCTTCTGTTTGCTCTCGTGTCCAAATTTGCCCTGAAGCTAAGAATGATCTCTTTGTGGATTTCCTGTAAGGCCATACAAGGCTTCAGATTTCCTCCTCCACCCGTATCTGGAGAACATCTTATTCATTCAAAGCCCACATGTTGAGGCATTAGCTTAGCTTAGCATTAGTAAAAATGCTTCCTAACTGCAAATAATTCATTAAGGGATCTTTGTAATACAAATATAAGATTGTAATTATGGCCGATTTACTTTGCAAGTGGAGAGGTGCATACACTATCATTCTTTTTAGATTTGTACAGATTTTAATGTGATAATCTAAGATAAAACTATACAAATGAATGCTTCTCTGTTTAGAAAATAGTGTTGCATGATAGGCCTTTTTTCGTTATTAACTTTTTTTTTTCTTCTTGCAAATGTACAAAGACTGCCATGTGCCTTTTAAAATACAAGGAAGCTTCAGACAGGAAAAAGTCAATATTTTGTGTCGAAAACGAGGTCAATCATGTGAATCAAAGTGTGCCTTAAGAGGAACATATTGTGGTCATCCCTGCAGCAGAGTTCACACATATATATTTAGGGATATGTAAATGCAGAAACCATACAGTATGAAAAGTGAGTAAACAAACGATGTATACAAAATGGATACAATTCTATAGATAAAATGATAATATTTGTAGCTGTCTCTGCTTCGCTATGAACTCTCTGTGTTAGTGTTGGCTAAACAAACAGCTGCTGTGATGACTAAGCAGCAGTCTGGCGTCTACAGTAGAAAAGGGTTGCTGTATTTCTGTATTATTTCCAATCTTCTTTTCTTAGTCTCCCTATTATTTGATATTTCCGAGGAAAAAATGTATCCTGAACTCAACAACTTCAACACAGACCGGGTTAGAGGATCTGTTTGTTATATTTCTCTGCATGTAGATATATTAGTACTAGGGATGGGAATTTCAAAGCAAATGTATATTCGAATATTCGACCCCCAAAAAAAGCGGTTAACCGATTAACCAAAATGTACATATCTTATAAAAAAAGAAAAAATGTGGGAGTTTCTCTTACAAATTTTGCATGTTCAAATAAGTATAGAAACCAAGTCGAATTAGTCAAATGTATTGAACTGGTGATCACAGTTTGAACAGTTGACAGCTATAGGCCTACAGCTTTCATGCTTAAAACATAACTTGGTTTTTAAATGAAAGAGGGATCATACACGAACAACATAACGGGTTAGGGTAACGTAACCCTATTACAACAGAGATCAATAACCTATGGGCCTCTGCACAGAATGCAGCTATTCAATACTCATTCTTGTTTAAGAATATGAGCATGTCTACATGCTCAGCGGAGAGGCGGGTGCGGAGGCGATTCACAATCAGGCCAGCTGTAGAGAAGACCCTCTCAGCTGGAATTTGGGCATAAGATGAGGTTTGAGTCTGCGTGATCTGCGTGTAGGGAGGGGCAGCAGCCATGTAATTAGCTAGAACTAGCTAGATCTGATGGATTTGGACATGAACGCGAGTGAAGTATAACCGGACGCGAGAGAGAGAGATCAGCACCTGCAGCTCTGCCCGCTGTGAGGGACCGGTGAGCGGAGCAAAACACACCTTTAGACCTAACACACTTAGCTATGGCACTGTCGTATACATTACATATGATCAAATGGAATAATTCAATCAACTTAGGCACCCCTCCAAAAAATAAATAAATTACAATAAAAGTATTCATACCTCATATTCTCATATTCTCATACCTGAATAATTTTGAATATTCGATTAATCGTTCCCATCCCTAATTGGTATTCTAGCTTGAATACAAAAACAAAAACATTTCATATATCAACATGTTCTGAATCTAATCTGAATAAATGGAGTGCCCTTGAGATATAGGACAAAAGGAAATGTGTTGTTATCTATTCATGCTGCTAAATAGAAACTGGGTCAGAAATGTGCTGCGAGTAATGTTTAAACATCATGTAATATGTCATGGCATTTTCTCCTGTGTAAGCACTCTTCAGGGACACAGAGAGCTCGCAGGGCTTCCTGTAAAGGTTTGGAGGACATTGGAGGTCATTTTTGCAGTAATTCATTAACATAGTTTGGCTGTGGGTTAAATAAATGCAACTCGGGGATGGTGTATTCTTAATAAACTTGCAATGTAATGTAGAGATCTATGCGAGTGTGGAACTTAACATAAAATGAACTATTGTGCTTTTTGGAGTTTTCCCTTTTCATGAAGTGTGTTAGCCACGTTTTTGTGCGTCACATTTTCATCGTGTCATGAAGGGACCAGACATGTCTAAAACATACTATAAAAGTAGATATTGTTAAGGAATAATTCTTCTAGATATCTAACCTTTTGCTCTGTGACGTTTTATGATCTACTCTGACGTCTGTTATCTCCTTTAAGGAAAGGCATTGGTGCCATATGTGTTGTTGTTACCAGTTTGTGACCGGTCAACTTGACTGGCACGAATGGTAATTGTTGTGAGAACGCTGAGGCACTTCTTTATCGGTGTTTGTGGACTCTAAGGTGTGAAATCTTTGAGGCCATAAGTGTCGGACGCAGGTGGTTCAGTGTTCTCAGCTGTTTAGTCTACTCCTTCAGAGATGTTGATTTCTCTCTGTGAACCTGTTAAAAGGTCTAGCATAGAGAGAGGCTCTTCAGAATTCACGTGGCAACTCTACCGTGAAGTCAGAACCTCTGACTCTTTGATTTGTGATGTGAATCCTCCGGCCGATACTCTGAATAAACCCATCAGTGTTTGACATCAAAAGCTCCAACTCTCACCGTGTCTCCTTCCTGAGTCGGTGACTCCCAATGCATTGCTACACAGAAGTTTCCCCCACAGATATATTGGTGAAAAAATTGCTATTCATAAAGGGTAAGATAAGAAAATAATGGCCCACAAAATTAGCTTCACTAAAAACAAAAGATATTAAGTAGTCAGTTTTATTTTAGAACATCTCCTGCTGTTCTTGTATGTCAACAAACTCCCCCCAAAATCTCACCTTTTTAACAGTACAGCGTTCTGTGTTTCCCCGGAAGGACAGCTGGACAACCACACCTCACTTTGAGATAATGATGACATTGCACGGAGCTTTTTTCCAATATGTATTCAAGAGCGGGTTTTTAAATATGAGAATGTGACTCTTTGTTTTCTCTACCAGGTTGTAAAGTGCACATTAATGTTCTCTGCAAGTATTAAAGGTCCCCTATTATACTGTTTTTCATCAATATATTATAGGTCTCAGATATATCCAGAGCCTGTCTCTGATTGGCTGAAACACCAAACAGATCATTGCAGCATCCCATAATCCCCTCTGTTTCAGCCCTGTTTCCAAAGTGCTGATTCTCTGTCTGTTACTTTAGATGAAAATAAGGAGCCCCTCCCCACGCCCCTCTGAGAGATATTTGGTTACAAAGAACACAATGGTGCTCTAGGAGGAGATTCAGGTGATAAGGAGGGGGGGGGGGTTACCTTGGTTGCTGATTGGCTAATGGTTACACAAGACAAAACATCGTTATGACATCATAAAGTGGCCAAAATCTGATCAGCTCATTTTCAGACAGGTTTTTATAGAAATGGATCAAAAAGAGAGAGAATCTTTGTTCCTGAAACTTTCAGAGTCTCTGAGGGGACACATGTTGATGAAGAAGAGACATGAGGAAGAGGGGACACATGTTGATGTAGAAGAGACATGAAGAAGAGGGGACACGTGTTGATGTAGAAGAGACATGAAGAAGAGGGGACACATGTTGATGTAGAAGAGACATGAAGAAGAGGGGACACATGTTGATGTAGAAGAGACATGAAGAAGAGGGGACACATGTTGATGAAGAAGAGACATGAAGAAGAGGGGACACATGTTGATGTAGAAGAGACATGAAGAAGAGGGGACACATGTTGATGAAGAAGAGACATGAAGAAGAGGGGACACATGTTGATGAAGAAGAGACATGAAGAAGAGGGGACACATGTTGATGTAGAAGAGACATGAAGAAGAGGGGACACATGTTGATGAAGAAGAGACATGAAGAAGAGGGGACACATGTTGATGTAGAAGAGACATGAAGAAGAGGGGACACATGTTGATGTAGAAGAGACATGAAGAAGAGGGGACACATGTTGATGTAGAAGAGACATGAAGAAGAGGGGACACATGTTGATGTAGAAGAGACATGAAGAAGAGGGGACACATGTTGATGTAGAAGAGACATGAAGAAGAGGGGACACATGTTGATGTAGAAGAGACATGAAGAAGAGGGGACACATGTTGATGTAGAAGAGACATGAAGAAGAGGGGACACATGTTGATGTAGAAGAGACATGAAGAAGAGGGGACACATGTTGATGTAGAAGAGACATGAAGAAGAGGGGACACATGTTGATATAGAAAAGACATGAAGAAGAGGGGACACGTGTTGATGTAGAAAAGACATGAGGAAGTGGATTTTGCATAATAGGTGACCTTTAAATGAGTCAAACTTTAGCTGGAAAAGAACCCCTTTAATTGGCCTTCCCTTGTTTTAGCTCTAGCCCTCCAGCCTCCACACATGAATTGTTCCTGTAAAGTCACAAAGCTGTTCAAATGCTAATATGTTCCTGCCACATGCAGTGATCCTACTGTGTCTCTCATTACACTGCACCCGCCTCTCAGACTGCTCCTCACAAATTATATCTTGTATTAGTGACACTTTACGATTATTCATAGCTCTTCATTTTGTCTCTCTGTCATTCTCCCCGCCACCTACACACACTCATTTGCATAATGACTCATCATTATTCAGAGAATCAATGCCAGGCAATCTTTCAATCAAGGAAGTTGTCAGAAAGTGATAGACTTGGATCATGGGGGTAAGCATTATCAAACCGGTTGGAAAAGCTATTTATAGCTGGTTTGAAAGCCTGGATTATTTTTGGACAGTTTAAAGATCCTTGCAGCCTTCAAACAGGTCAGTGTTTTGCAACCAAGAGTGAGTCTGACGTTTGTTGACAGTTTCCTAATCCGGCCGCCTTATTGTTGTAAGCAGCTCTAAGCATTGTCTATCCTCTCAGATAGTGGCTCTAACCAATCCAAACTTTCAGCGTTGTGCTTTCCCCTTCCTGATTACGGAGAAATATCCAATCAGTGGCACCGTTTTTCTTTGTCTTTCTCCTCACTGAGCGGCCTGTGTGTGTGTGTGTGTGTTTTGGCCTCAGTGTGGATTAGGGCAATCCTCAGCTCTTCCAGGTATGATTGTGACGTCAGATCTCCTCCTCAGCCAGACGGATTTCCATCATGTGATCATTAGGACCTCGTAACACAGGGAGTTCAGCCAAATGTCCTCGTGACGATGCAGCGATTAGGAGTATTCTTCGTTGTTTTGAAACAGGGAGTTCAGCCAAATGTCCTCCCACAGCGATAAGTAGTATTCTTCGTGGTGTTGCACATTTTGTGAGTCTGACAGACGGCTGTGGATGTGAGTGTGGTTTCTACGTAGCTGCTGATGTGTTGCTTGCAGGACAGAGGATGGATATTGTGAGCGGTGTGATTAAAGCGGGTGTTCGGCCAGCTGGGTAGTGTTTCCACCGTCTGCTGAGGAGCAGCAGGTGGAGGTGTGTGTGAGACTGGAGATAAACATCTGGACGAGCTTCTAATGCTGCTCTGTTGTTTAATCTTACTTCTACTTGTGCTGTACCTGAGTATTGTCATTTTATACTGCCTTATACTTCTACATTCTGGAAGCCCAATTTGTACTTTTATCTCCACTACATTCAATTTACACATGTATTTACTTTCTGAATTCAGCTTTTGACACACAATACTTAGGAAAAACAGTACAATATGTTTATTTTGTACAGTTTTAACCATCCGACATTATATTCTAGTAACTAAAACTTGAGTGGGTTTACACTAATCGTACTTGGTTTTGTGTTTCGCATTGAAGATGACGTCACGGCTCCGCCTACACTGCGTTACTATAGTTACTGCCCCAGCTACTAAACTGTAATGGAAACGCAGCATAAAGTGAGCCTGGCCTACCAAGGCCTAACCATACCGTACTAAGCCGTGCGAGGCCCTGCAGTGGAAAAGCGTCATTACTTAGCGTACATACTTTGACCTAGGTACCATTCTCGATGCAGCACTTTTACTTGAAATTGAGTATTGTTACAGTGTGGTATTAGTACTTTTACTCCAGTGAAGAATCTACATACTTTTGCCACCACTAAACAAACAATAATAACAGCACTTATATATGATTATAATTATACTACAGGTGAACAACCAATATCTAATGTATTGTAAAGACGTCTTGTAGACAGTAATAACAATCAGTAGCAGTGCACAAAACAAATCTTTATCCTAATCTAATGGAACTATTCTAAGATGGAACAAATGTGTGTGTTACTGTGTGTGTTTTAATGTCAGATCAGTCAATCCCCGTTGATTATCTGCCCGTGTTTCCGATCTGTTGCCAGTTTTTTGTCCAGTCGTGTCCTCAATTAAAGTTTCTGTTCAACTAATGTTTGTTTTTCCTTTTGTTTTCTGTCTCTTGTCTCCTCTTTTTTTTAATTTATCGCCGTCGTCCTGTGTTGCCGCTGCCGCCAACTACCGTCTCCAAACCAACATCTGCATTGTGGACGCACCTCTGCCCTCCTTTAATCTTCACCCCAAATCTCTGCCACTCTTCCTCTCTCTCTCTTTCTGTGTCCCCCAAATATCTCTTATTTCTACTTTTTCTGTGTCTATCCTTTCCGCCCGCTAGCACCATGCAGAGTTGAAAGAGAGCCTTTCCGCCCCCGGTAAGCCTGTGACTTAATATAGGCTTTGATTGCTCTAACAGCACCTTAGTGTCCCCCTCATTAATAAACCATTAAATGCAGTTTTTCATGGAGCAGTTCTTGCATGCTTTGTCTTTTAAGTTAATTTAGCTTGCGGCTTTCTTTGTATTATATTTGTTGTGTCTGTCTTTAGAAACTGCTGCCTCCTATAACAAACATCATCTTCTCTTGAGGGTTTATTCGTGCTTTGTTTAGATTCCCTTTCATCATGTCCTCCTCTCGTCTGTAGCTGCCGTGGTGAGCAGTGATGACCCCGTCCTTCTGACCCCAGGCAGGATGAGCCAGCGCCAGGTGAAGGACAAAGACAAAGACAAGGACAAAGACAAGGACAAAGACAAGGAGAAAGAGAAAGAGAAGGAGAAGGAGAAGGAGAAAGAGGCAGGTCTTCAAACGCCCAACAGGGAACTCGTTACCACCCCCTCTGCACTCAGCCCGGGGGTCAGCTACACCCACGGTAAGAAACCCATGGGGTAAGAGTTTGCATGGGATTAAGTAAGATACGATAAGAAGTACTTTATTGATTCCAATTTGGGAAATGTTTGCGTTGCAGCAGCATAAAAAAAAGGCTTTGTACATTAGAGAAATGAAAAGACAAGAAATAAACAATCCAAAATGTAAACATCTCAAATAGAAATAAAAAAAAGTAGAAAATATACATGTGGAGATAATACAAAATATATAAAAAGAAGGATATTATATATATAATTGTGCAAGGAATGGATTATTACATATTAGATTGAATATAAGTGTAAAATGTACAGTGTGATTTTAAGTTATCCAAGAGAGGTGATTTGTTATTAAAAATCTGATTTTGATGAACCCCTCCACATTAAACGCAGAATTACAGTGAATGCAGCGATTGTGCACACTTTCTTACTAGGGCTGCACGATTTGGGGAAATAATTGCGATTTTTCTGACAGATATTGCGATTTGATTTGCGATATTTGTTTTTAAGCGACCCAACGGAAGTTTATTGTAAAATGCGGCCATATCTCCGGCTAGGACGCTCGTTATCAACGTGCTCCCGTCTCTAGCCCCCCCGCAGCCCGAGCTACGAGTGAAAGAACTAAACTTACATGAAACTTCCGTTGGGTTGCTTTAGAGTCAAGCTTCAGTTTCAGATTCACCCTGTAATAGATGTAGAACATGTGATGGAGCATTACTAACCTGACTCAGATGGCTTCACCAAACCATCTAGGAAAGCTCCATTGGAAGCCATTTGGAAAAGTATTTAAAAAATGCTTGGCAGGTGATTGGATCAATCTGTCAATCACCTACTATCATGGGCCACTTCTGATTGGTTAACAATGGCTGGTACATGTGGAGCACAGCACTTCTGATTGGTTAACAATGGCTGGTACATGTGGAGCACAGCACTTCTGATTGGTGTGGATGACTGACACACAAGAAGAACAAAAAAAGAAATCAAAAAAGAAAACTAAAAAAAATCGCAGGCTTTGCGATTTGATAATTGCATCATTTCAAATCGCGATTTCGATTTCAAATCGATGAATCGTTCAGGCCTATTTCTTATGCACAGTGACACGTTTGCTGGGTGTAGCTGTTCACAACATGTCTGAGGATTATCTCGAGTAACCTGGGCATCTTATCTGCTTTTGCACTTTGAGCAACACACACCATCTAGCTTCATCATACGGGAGAGAAGCTTATCTCCAATACTCTGCAATCACACCATAACAAACTAGATCACTCCAGGTAAGAGGAACATGTGTGTTTTTCATTGGAGGCAAACTGTCCCTCCTCTACTGATGCTCAGCCACACTCATGTCCTCTCTTTTCTGTCCTGCTTCAGCCTTTTATTGTTTTATATATTTGTAAATGTCCCCGCTGTGGGACGGATTCTGATTCTGATATGCAGTAGATCACATAGCTGCTGTATAATACCTGTCAGTCCACATATCTCAAAATATCAGCGGGGATGATTTCCAGTGTTACTGCAGATGTTTGATCCTCAGACGTCATCAGAATCTGTCTGGAAATGCTCTCATTACAACTCACTCTGATGGTGCTTTGTTCTTGTGTTGCAGCGCCCCCTTGTGATCTAAGTATCTATTTATTTCAAGGATTTATATACCAGTAGTCTGATTTTGTTTCACGACATCACAGGGAAATGTGTTTCTCTACAGTCTTCAGTGATAGGAAGGGCAAAGCTTAATATGTAAATGATATGAATGTATTTGTTTGGCCTGCTGTTGGTAGTCTGGATGTAGATTATGGGTTGAGCTGCAACGATTCCTTTCATTATCTTATACATCTGCAGATCATTTTCTAGATCAATCAATTGTTTAGTATATCAAATGTCAGAAAGTAGTAAAAAATGTCAATCCCAGTTTGTTAAACGTCTTGTTTTGCCAGTCTAAAATGATTTATATATTATATCAAAACATTTTGCAAACAGCAACATCCATATCTGAGAAACTGAAGACAGCATTTTCTTACATTTATCTTGAAAATCTCTTTGAAGATGAACAATTTTCATAGTAGTTGGCTTTAATTTGCTGTCCATCGACCAATCAAATAGCCGTTTCAAATCTAATCACAGGTCAAAACTATCGGAGCATTTGTTTGCTGCTACATTTCAAGAACAGGGATACGTTTTGGTCTAGTTCGAAGCTAAAACTGTGTTTGTGTAACCTCATAAGCAAAGTTTGTAATTGCAATCATGTGACTCATCCCTGATGGCTTTTGCATTTGGCTGTTAAACACTATGCTCACATTTGGGCAAGTCTAGTATCGCTGAATCCATTTGCATGAATCTATTTGAGTGTGTTTTTTTAAACTAGGCTGTAAAGCTACTTCCTACCACAAGAGGGAGTGAGCTTACATGGCAATGATACACATCTTTGACCTCCACACAAGATATCAGACACATTCAACTCTATGACTTTCCCATCATGCAACATCACTCACTTAGCTTCTTAAAGAGCTTGTTAACGGCTGCAAAACATCTGCTGTCTTGCTGTGTGTCGTCAGTAATGTTGACATATATGTATCAAGAGTAAGACGTGTTTTCATGGAGAAGGATGGAGTAGTCGAAGCCCCTTCTATGTGCAGTTCTGCGTCTGTTCTGCACACTTTTGTTGCTCTGGTATACTGATATCAACATGATTCAATATAAACGAGTCCTCTGGAAGCGGGTGGTGATACAGCAGCTGGAAAACATGAAAAGCAGACTGTCCATCATCCTCCCCTTCAAAAACCCCGACTGCACAATATGTGAAGCAAGAGTCGGTAAAACAGCATGAAAGCTTCCTTCTTTTTCAATTTTTTTTATGACACTCCAGCACAAAAACAGATATCCATGGCAACGGACTTCACGCCTTCTAGTCCTGGGTCTTGCGTCACAGTTTGTACTTTGCTTTGTTTGAAGATCCTCAGTCATTAGGAGATGACGTGGGTCATTCTGAATCGAGAAGGGGATTGTCAGAGTCGGGTGAAAATTCACACTTAAGGTGCGAAGAGCCGTTATGACGATAGTATTTTTCCAGTTATCTGATGCTTCCCCTGACAACAAGTGATTGCTCGAGGGTATTTCTGTTGGAACATAATTACATTTGATTGTACCCAGAAGTGCCTCCTCTAAATTACCAATTTGCTATATTTATGCACAACTAAACCCGTATTGTTTGCATAACATCTGATCATTAATCAACCCCTCTACCCTCTCCAAAGAAGGCACGTCATTGCAAATCATAATTCAGTTTCCTAACCAAATAAAACCTGGTTTCAAGTCGACATTTCAAAATCAAGATACTGCCGTAGAAGGGAAATAATCAGATTCCTTTCTCATCATAAAATAGGTGTGTATTGATGCCCTTGATGGGGGTAAACTTGAATGACTTGTGAACATATATATTGATGGACAACAAAGCCGAAAAATCTCTATTGCAACCTGTTCTGTCATTTAAGCTTGTTGTTATCACGCAGATGTATGTTAATGTGTTTGTCTTTCCAATTAGTTTGGTTTTAATTGGTTATATGATGCTATAAAAAGGGGTTAAGACGACATGATTGACAGCTGACTCTTGACGCTTGACTTCCACTCTGAGGGAAGAAGTCACGAAGCAAAAGGCTCTGGGAGATGTAACCTTAACGCAATTTGTGTCAGTTAAAATCTGACTTTTTTGAAGGTATTTTGACAGAAACAATAGGCGCGTTCACACCGCAGTACTTTTCCCACTTTAGTTCCGATATAGTTCCGAAATGTTGCGTTCACACCAAAAAAATCTGACTGTCTGTCTGCAAGATTTCAGAAAAAACTACGGGTTAGATTTGAATTAAACTTGCGTAAAAGGTGCAGCATGGACTTCTTAGAAAGAACAATTAACATTTTGGAGAGGATCCAAAACACAGGCTGAATGCCGACTATGTTTATCTTACGTTAACATTACGAGATCGAGATTGAGTTTAAATTTAGCTCGGAGTGGTCCAAAAATAAACTGCAGGTCCCTGGATTTAGCTACGACTAACCATAAGAGTGTTGTCAACCAATAAAGTTGGAAAGAAGATGAAAGCAGGTCATGAACTTTTCACCGGCTGCACTGACGTCTGTATCAGCTGAAATGTATTCATTTTTAAACAAGGAAACAGTGCAGCTCTATTTTTGACCAAATGTACAGATAAAAAAAGGTTCACCAAATGTTCTATCTCTGTCAAAGCATCTCATGTAACTTAGCTAAAAAATAGTCCAGCAGAGAGCAAGTAATTCAGTATTATATTACCCAGATTCTCCCCTTTCTCCTTACTAGAAACCACTGACATGGCACTGACATTTGTCACACATAGTGGCCAAGTATCTAATAATGTGGAACCTTAAACCTTAAATTAAACAAGATAATTAGAATACAAATGAACCACCTTTTTTGTAGCTTCATTGGAGGTTGTGTTGTGTCTCATAAAGCTATTACTTGTATAACTTCTAGAAGGAAAAGACACGAGACAGGAGTGTATGATGTCGACTGTTTACTTGCAAATTACACCACAGTCATCCAACACAATCTCCTCATATAGTCACATATATTGCATGACCTTACATTATCCCTTAATGACACAGTATGTCTCCTAATTAATTAATGAAGGTGATATTATCATATTACTTCGCTCACCACAGAGGTCATTTTGTTTCTGGGTCACCATGATAGTTAGTAGTAGCAGATAGTTTACTACCACTCAATACCAGACATATACTCAGAAACTATAGTTACCACTTGCTTGTGTTGCAGTGCCACTCTCCGTCCGTACTGTTATTGATGTGATTAACGAGGGGGATAATATAATACAAAATGTCTGTTATTGTTTATGATTCAAACTGCTTCTATAAAGTAGCTGCAATGTGAGTTTCCAGACGAACTCGGGGGTCTTTGGTCTGTCTGCCAAGTGATTCTTCCTCTCTTTGTGACTCACTGAGAACAGAAATAAACCCAGAGAGGTTG